TGTGATGGTGGTGGTGGCAGGCTGGCGGCAGAGCTTCGGGCAATTGGCGGGGCGGAGGGCAGCCAGCCCTAAGGTTGCTGTTCTGACTGGGAAGGGGAGTATTATGTCAACATGTCTCTGCTCCTCTTGTAGCCCCACTCTGCGGCATCCAGCGGCCCAGCCCACCGGCCACCGAGCTCCTGCCCTTCGCCTTGGACAGGACTGGTCCATGCTCCCTCTTCACCGAGGTGAGCTTAATTGGTATGTTTTCTTTTGGTGTTGGCCAATGCACCTGGCAACCGTGAGCACTTGCATCCCGCGACTGCATGTACGGTCGTCGACGATTTGACACTGACAATAACTGTACCCACGAATCTTTAGATACTAGTTGTCATCGGAGCACCCAAGGCCCGACTCTCATCGCGTAACAGATCGCTCTTACGGCTTCAAGGCGCTTGCTTGCCTATCTCTGATGTCACTTCGGCATGGCGGACAAGGCCCCCGGTGACATGACTGTCCCGGACGGCATTGACTTCAACCATCCTTACACGCCCTATGATGTGCAGACTGATTTCATGAAAGCAGCCTATGGCGTATTACAGCGAGGGAATGGACAGGTCGGCATCCTTGAGAGCCCAACAGGCACGGTGAGAAGCGACGAACAGCACTTCTAGGCACCTAGGTGCTAACACCTCTCTCAGGGCAAGTCGCTTTCGCTCATTTGCGCTTCACTAACATGGTTGCGGAATCAACGTGTTGAGGAACACGAGGCATCGCTCAAAGTCAGCATGGACGACTTCAAGGATGAGCCCGACTGGATTGTGGAGCAAATGCTGCGCCGGAAAAGAGACGAGCTCGCCCGCACTTGGGAAGAGCGGGAGAAGAAGTTGGAACAGATTCGTCAAAGAGAAAAGGCTATTGAAGCTCGCAGCGCCAAGCGACGCCGCTTTGACGATGGCCCCTCGAGATCCAAGCCTCGTGCTCTCGAAGTTGACGAGGACGACGAATGGTTGCTCGATGAGCCAGACGCAGCCGGGTCAGCCAATGGCGGCGACGCCATGAGCGGTCTGAGCAAAGAGACAAAAGACATCCTGTCCAGATTTGGCTTGGGAAGTCTCAAGGCCGATCAAGAGGAGGACAAGGTCGAGGATGGAGTCAAGGTGCGCAGTGCCCATGTTGTTGCCGGGTACAATAGTAACATGAATCATATTAGATATACTACACGTCAAGAACGCACTCGCAACTCACCCAATTCATCCATGAACTGCGACGACCATCCTTTCCATCATCCGTACCTCAGTCGATTGTGCAACGCCAAAGTGAAGACGACCAGCCTGCCAAAGAACCAGTCAAGCACCTGCCCCTATCGTCACGCCAGAAACTCTGCATCAACCCCTCCGTGTCGCGTCTCGGCAGCTTATCCGCCATCAATGACCGATGTGCGGAGCTCCAAAAGCCAAAGTCAAAGGACAAGTGCCCCCACGTCTTGAAAGAAGAGAACATCGCCGAGACGCATCAGTTTAGGGACACCGCCCACGCCACGTTGCCTGACATTGAAGACCTGTATCATCTGGGGAAGAAGCTGTCCATCTGTCCGTACTATGCATCACGCGCGGCGATTGCCGGTGCCGAGATCGTCACTTTGCCATACCCCTTGCTGCTACAGAAGAACGCAAGAGATGCACTCGGCATCAAGCTAGAGGGCAACGTTGTTATTGTCGACGAGGCGCACAATATCATGGACGCGGTAGCCAACGTGTACGCATCCGAGGTGAAGCTGAGCGAGCTGAGGAGGGCACGACAGATGCTCGGTATCTACGTCAAGAAGTTTGGGAAGAAGCTGAAGGGAGAGAACCGAGTCATGGTCGGGCAGGTGGGCAGAGTCGTCGAGGGTCTCAGCGAGTGGATGGACGGGCAATTGAAGGTCAAGGTAAGTCGCAATGCTCGAGGCCTTCCGTCTGCGTTGACTAACATGTTGCAGAGTACCCAGGGCATCGTCGACTCCAAAGTTCTCCTCCGTTGCAAGGGTGTAGATCAGATCAACCTGTTCCGCCTGATTCAGTACATCCAGGAGTCGAAACTCGCCTACAAGATTGAGAGCTATGTAGCCCATGTCGAAGAGGAAGCCTCCGATGCAGGCCATGTCAAGGCATCACCGAGATCCTCCACGCCTGTACTCCACATATTATCCTCCTTCCTAATATCTCTTACCAATCTTAGCTCCGAGGGACGCATTTTCTACGAGAAGCTCGCCACGAACCCGCCAGATATCCAGCTTTCCTACCTGCTTCTGTCACCAACGCACGCCTTCTCAAGCATTGCCACGAGCGCCAGAGCGGTCATCCTCGCCGGTGGCACCATGTCTCCATTTGACGACTACAAGGACCATCTCTTTCCCTATCTTTCCACCTCAAAACTTACGACCCTCAGCTGCGGGCACGTCATTCCCCCGTCTAACCTGTGTGTCTGGACCCTGGCAGGCACTCGGCCCGGCCCAAATCGGGACACCAATTCCACATTCGAGTTCAGCTTTCAGCGCAGGGCTGACAAGGCCATGGTAAGCCAGCTGGGTCTGGCCATCTTGAACATGTGCAACGTCGTGCCTGATGGTGTGGTCGTGTTCTTCCCCAGTTATGGGTACCTCGATGAAGTCGTTGCAATTTGGGATAGCCGGACGGCTGGGGAGCCCAAGTCAATATGGCAGCGCCTCCAGGAAAGAAAACAGGCATTCAAAGAAACCCGCGGCGGATCCAGCGACGAGGTGCTGGAGGCGTATAGCCAAGCCATTTTAGGTGATGATACCGACAGAAAGCCGGGAGCGCCACCCAATCCTCGCGGTGCCCTGCTTCTCAGCGTCGTCGGCGGTAAGATGAGCGAGGGCATCAACTTTTCCGATCGCCTAGGCCGCTGCGTCATTATCGTAGGCCTGCCATATCCAAACATCAATTCTCCCGAATGGAAGGCCAAGACGGAATACATCGAGACCACGACTGTCCAACGACTGACTGATCCCGCCGGCGCAACGAAGATGTCGAGAGACGAGGCGTTGGTGGTTGCGAAGCAGGCGGCTAGGGACTTTTACGAGAACGCTTGTATGCGAGCCGTCAACCAGAGTATCGGGCGGGCCATCAGGCACATGGGCGACTACGCGGCCATCGTTCTTGTGGATCGCAGGTATGGAACGGAGAGGATCCGGGGCAAGCTTCCTGGCTGGATTCGGGGCGGTATGAATGGCGATAGTCACGAGAAGGGGCTGCCTCAGCTGATGGGAGCACTGAGTGGGTTCTTTCGGTCGAAGAGGGCTGGAACATCGTGATGATGTTACCGGCATCATTGGCGTGTACTGTCTAGTGTATGATCCATATCGAATATGTTGCGCCCTTTGCTACTTGCGGGATGGAACCAGCGTAAAACCACTCGTCGTATTGAATATTTTCGTAGGCTAGCAAACTTTCCGCCATCGGCACGGCCATCAATGATTTTGTCGACCTCTCAGTCCCGGGCCTGGACACAATATGTCCTCTCGCGAGAAGCACCGGTAGGCAACTTTGAATTGCCTATTCGTACTAATGGTTTCATGACCATTGGAAGCCGGCAATTACAGCAAGCCACCGCATGCCGCGTCAGTAGAATTCAGGCGGGGAATAATGTTTCAGGGCACTGCATTCCAAGTCGAACGGCGAGGCTATACAAGGACCGTCGAGTGCGTTCCTGTCATCAGCCAGCAGGCAGCCCCCTGGGTCGGGGGATCAAGCCAAACTAGCTGGGTGGTGGACTACTTCTTGGCCCTTTTTACATCTCTATACCTGTTGGGCATCACATTTTTCCTTAAGTCTGTATACTTGAAGGATTCGCGGGTAGTGTTAAGAGCGTTTGTTACTTGTTCATGTTTTAAATACGATTGTAAAATATACAAAAAGTGGTGAAAACATTAAGCAATACTTTGTGACAGGATATTCCATATAAGTCAATCTCGAATCGGCAATTATGCAGTTACCAAAAGCGAAGCCACTAATTTGACAAAGGAAAGAAGTAACTTTGGCTTCGAATGTAAGAGAATACCGGCAGAAGGAACTCCCGTCATCGACTCCCGGAGCGGCACTCCGGCGAATGTTGCAAGCTCATTGGACGAGAGGCCCTCTGGTGTTATGTCAGCTCCCTGATTATTATGTCAGCAGTCATACGGCACCAGTCCCCTGTGGCACCCCCACTTGATCCCCATAGCGGTACGTTAGTGGCGTAAGCCGTAGTGAATCTCATTCTTGATTTTCCTCTTTCCATCCCACCTCAAATGCGACTGTTTGCTGTTCAAATTCGCGGCCTGGTGTTACCCTACCGTAGGTAATTCGGTTGCCTGAAATGGCGTCTATCCCGCGACTCACTGCAACAACACAATGAGGCTCTTCAGCACTGTTCATGAGAGACGTCATGAGAGACGGGCAGGCTGTTGAAGCAGCCACTCACTCACTGAACAAGACGTTAATTGCCATGACTCTCGGAGATGTACATCAGCCCTCTCTGGCACTCGCAGCGGGAGCCGACGTGGCATAGCTACCTACACCCCGCAGTTCTGGTGTTTTTGAGGTTCCATAGTGAAAATCCTACGCTACCTCGTCTAGTATTCTCTGCATACGCCGTCTCGCCGCGATATCCACCGGGCCCCAATGAGCTGACGAGCTGACCTTACTGCTCAGTGACCTCAACCTGGGCAGGGCTTCGTCTTGTCGGTTATGTCACGCGTCGCGGCGACGATTTGCAGCTTGCGGCTTGCCATGCATTCACCGCCTCATTTCGCCTCGTCTGGCCTGGTTTGAACAGTCAGTCTTGACTCTGAACAGCCTGCCCACCTTACAGACTGAACAAGCTGTCATATTGGCCTCAGACTGGTTGGTCGAATTTGATTGCACAGCTGCCCAAGTCTCCGCAAGCTTACTCGTACCTTACTACTTGTAGAGTACGAGGTAAGGCAAGGTAGATCTACCCCTCGTCACCCTCGATCTCTCACGCACGTCTCACCACCACCACCACCTTCTTTTACCTTACCTTGGCACTTTAGAGCAACTTGATCCTAGGTGCTTACTTCCTTAGGTGTAGCCACTCGGTCGCTCCCGCGCTCCTTCCGCTGTCTTAGCTTGCGATTTCAACTTTTTGGGGCAGTTGCTTTCCCGTCCACCGTCATCTCGTCCCTGCCTCTTTTCAAGTACCGCCTTATGCCAATCTGAGCTGCAGCTGCAACTTCTGGCCGGCAACACACCCCGCCAACTTGGTGACGAACTTCACTTCTACTACTCCTCTTCGTCGTCGTCTTCCTCCACTACTATTGGCATTGTTGTGATTGCTTTGTCCTCTGCATTTCCACCTCGGAAGAAATCCCTTGCGAATATGAGCGGCTCCGATGCCATCGACCGGCGATTTGCCGACGTCCTAGACAAAGCTCAGAAACAGTATGCCGATTCTCAGGGGATTGATCTCACGGCTTACATGAGCCCGCCTATCAAGTCCACCGAGGACCTCATGGGACTCATTGCCGACGAGAACAAAAAGTTCGAAATGTTTCGAGACAAGCGCAAATACATATTCGACCACCTAGCGGCCGCTTGCAAACCCCTCGAGATTGCCGGCGAAGCATTAGCAGGGGCGGCCGAAAGTGTTTTTCCACCAGGTCAGACCATCTTCGCAGTCGTCGCTTACCTTATCAATACCGCCAATGGTATTAGGGAAAATTACGATGTCATCATTGTTTTATTTGAACAAGTGAAGGACTTCACTATTAGATTCAGATTCTACGTCTCCGAAAAGATGTCATCCGAACTCCAGGACAAGCTCGTCGAGGTTCTCGTCACCGTCTTTGAAATTTTCGTCATCGCCACACACGAGGCAAAGATGGGCCGCCTCAAGCGCTTTTTGAAGGATTTGTTCGGCAAGGGAAGCAAGGTATCCGATGCCATGACGAAGTTGGCTTCCCTCACCGAGAGCGAAGAGCGCCTGGTCATCGCAGAAACCAGTGCCGGCGTCAAGCGGTCCCTTTCAAATGAGCAGAAGCTCCTAGAAATGATGTCAAGAGTCGATGTCAACGTCCAGACCCTGCGCAACGAGACCCGCGTGCCCCAAACGAGAGAGCAAGCTCTTTCTTCCAATAGAGACAAACTCAAGAAGATTCTCCAACCCTCCGTTTACCCCGTGGATACCTATACTGCTCTAGACAGGACGCGCACCGCTGGCACCTGCGAATGGATTCTGCAAGACCCTGCTCTCCAGGCTTGGATAGCTGGCGATGTTCGTTTCCTCTGGATTTCTGGAAATCCCGGCACAGGAAAGTCATACCTGACATCTCGTATGGTGTCGTGGGGCCGAGATCTGCTCGACGAACAGCAAACCACCAGCATGATGGGTTACTTCTTCTTCCGCCAGAATAATCCAGAATCTAGATCCGTGGTCCAAGCTATCAAAGACATGGCATACCAAATCAGTGAGCAAGATGTCTTTTACGGCAAACAGCTCGTCCAAAACATCTCTTCTAGTGACGAGATCAAGACTGTCTCAAGCGCCTTCCGTAAATTACTCGAAGACCCCTGCAAGCCAGACAAATGGAAGAGACACATCTATCTCCTTGTGGACGGCCTAGATGAAGCCGAGCCGAGAGAGGTCACAGAGTTCTTATCGTTGCTGAACGGCCTGAACAAGCAACAAGCGACAGGAACAAGAGTGCAGATTGCTTTGGTTGGACGGAATACTCTCACAGAGGAGGTTCAAGAATCGATGGGAGATGAATCTATCAGCCGATCGCTTCTTGTCACACCCGACCGGAACGGGGCCGACATTGAGTCGTACATCAAGGACGGAATATATCATCATTCTCGCATTCTTCGAAGCTCCACACAAAGAGAAAAGAACAGAATCATCGATGCCATGATCAAACAAGTCGACGGTCTTTTCATTCTGGCCAAGTTCATGTTGACTGAAATCAACAGAAACAGACACCTGACGGACATTGCCAACAGCTTGAAGACCTACCCCAAGGAGATGAATGGCATGTTGACAAAGACCGTACTAGATTTCAGCACATCCTTTACCCAAAGAGATGCAGACGATCTGAACGAAATCTTGCGCTTAGTCTCGGTTGCTGAGATGGGCCTGACTCTCCAGCAAATCGAGTCTTTTCTGGCCCTTAAGATGGGAGACGCCCCGCTGGACCTTGAAGGATTGCTGAGAGGCAAGCTCTCCTGCTTCTTCACGCTCGAGCGGGAAGATGGGCTCTCGACAGCTGATCTCATTGAAAAGCACGAAAGAAACCCCCGTTTCGATTCCTCGGACACTGATATATTCAGGGAGATTCAGTATGATTCAAAAAAGAGCACAACCTATGTCAACTTTTTCCATGATTCCGTCAAGGAGTTCTTCCGAGGAGACTCGTCAACGAATCTCAAGGCACCTGGCGCGCAGTGCCCCTCCATTGGGTTCCATCTTGCCGACGCGAGACTGCACGTTCTCAAAACCTGTTTGCGGATCTTCACTGACCCAGCATACTTTACTCTGGGCAAGGATGGACTCTCTGCGCAAAGATACGCTGCCTGGTACTGGCAAGAGCACTTGGACGACGTCGATATCACCACCATCTCTAAATCTGAGAAGGCCGACATCGGCAAACACCTCCTCATCATGATGACCGACCCGGATATCCTTCTTACCTGGACGAACCTGTTTGAGGAAAGTCTCGACATCTGGACTGACAGGAACATCGAGACTGTTTCTCAGTGGCTGAGAGATGCCGATGTCATAAGCTCTCTGACTCCGGAGCAGAAGGAGTGGACCAAGTCGGCGACAGCAAGCCCTGCAAAACTGCTTGAACCTATGGGGAGGACGTTCGCCAAGGCTTGGCTTGGCGAAGGCTCTCGAGTGTACATGACGACGTTGTTCTGTTTCGGTGTCGTCCAGTCACTGCCGCTGCTGGAGGGGGGCGGCAAATGGTCCGATTCCGAATATCACTGGCAGGATGTGTCGCTGGAAACGAGGATCCAGCAAGCCGCCGACTGGGCGAATCAGCCTAAAACGGGACATTGGCTACGGAGAATCGGCAGTACTCTTTTGAACTTGGGAGAGCACACCAAAGCACTGGAATACTTCAAGAACGCTTTCGATAAGGATGGTAACAAGGCAGAAAGCTTTGGCCGAATGGGATTGTGTTACGGCCTGAATGGCAACTACGAAGAGGCCCTGAGACTACATCGTGAATGCGAGTCGTTGGAGGAGATGCGCATGGCTGAGGGTCTCTACAAAACCGACCAGGAGGTCAAGGGCGCCAAATGGAGACTCTACAGAAACCAGGCTCAGATGGCAGAGTGCTACAACCACATGGGCCGCATCGACGAATCGATCGAGTATTGCCGCAAGGCTATGGACGTCTATGACGCCCCTGACTTTGAACCCCAAATCGCCTATATCAAGGTCCTCACCGAGAACAACCGTCTTCCAGAGTTGATGAAGCTCTCTGACGAAATGGATGGCCGGTTTTCGGATGCGGATAGAGGAAACTCTCGCTTCGTACAATTCCTCTTGACTCAGATCCCTGATCCATCCATCAAGGACTGGTTTCCACAGGCGGCGGCTCGCGCAGATCCAAGGAGGACGGATGACTTGGCAGAACGCTACCGTAGTGCCATCCAATCCGCGCAAGACGACCAAGATTTTTGGAAACAATTCTATCTGCAGAACGCACTCGGCAACATCTTTCTGGCGGCGCAGGATTACACTACTCTCATCCCTATTCATGAAAGGATCTGCTTCCACGATTACAAAGCAAAAGGAAGTCTGCCTGTCCGGATCGAGTACATTGCTTCATTCAAGCAGCTTACCAGAGCATACTTCATCAAAGCGCTGGAGGCTGACCAGACATTGGTATCCGAAGCCAGTGGTCTATGGGTCAAAAAGCTGGAGAAGCTCATGCAGCAGCAGGAAAAGTACCAGAACAAGAATGTCCCGCTCCACATGGCTGGTTTCGACTTCAATGAGCCGTCCATCTCCCTGATAGTGCTATACCGTCTGCGCAACAGAGACACAGAATTACGGCAACTCGTCCACGGTCTTGTCTCTGAATGTCTCAAACTCTTAGAGGACGAGGAGCCTCAGAATGACGAGATCAGCATCCGCCACCTTCAACGGTGTCTGCTTGCCGCCGGAGACGAAGACAATGCCAAAGCGTTATGGCAGTCGACAAGAACCCCGTCGCTGTCTGCTACTACATCCGGTCACTTGAAGGCTGACCGAAGACGATCGAGCTCGCCCAAGATCGGCGGGCTGTCACCTAGGATGTCACTTTCACCCAACAGACGGAGCAAGCAGATATTCCTCACGAAGATCTTCTCAGAAGGCAATGATGTATCTTGCGACCACTGCCTCAAGAAATTTGAGCCGTCGGAAACGTTTGCAGTGTGTCGGTACTGCGTCGACTTGAAGTTTTGCATGCCCTGCTTAGACGTCGTCAAGAGTCAGAAGTTTGAGCCAGGTCACAATTCGGTGTGCAAGCCCAGCCACGACTGGCTCATGGTGCCACCCTTGACAGTCAACCTTCAGGCTAATGAGATTCTGGTTGATGGTCAGGTGCGCAAGCTAGAGGAGTGGAAGGCAGGGCTACGGCAAGAGTGGGTACAAACCAAGCAGGCCAAGGCAGCAAAGGGGCTTGGAATAATGTAAATGCAGACCATGGAGACGTGGCTGAATGTTGCGTGGGTGGCAATGGATTGTTAGTGTTACGACGGCAACTTTCTTGTCAGGAAGGCCATGCCGCCCAAGGGATTATTGCTCTAAGCCTGCATGTGTAGTATGATGATAGATTAGTGCTTAATAGCTGCACTTGAAGTGCAGCATACCCAGTGCCATTGTTTCCAAAGCATTGTGACCCTTCTCCTGGTTCTCAAGCGCCGACATGAGTAATGAACACCGTCTAGTCACATGTCACATGGATTGAGCTTATATGATCATCATCTAGCATCGGGAGCGGGGGATACCAGTATCTCAGGTAAGGTAAGATAGGTAAAGTAACAGTGACGGAGGTGCGGAATACTTGTCAACCTTGGGAATGCGTGTTCTACCGCGCCGCGGAACATCGGCAAATGAACCTCGGATTGGGGCCACATCCCGCTCACATTGGGGAGCCGGTAGACTTCCGAACCGGCCAGCGGCGGGTCCGTGACTGCGGGGCCGGCGGGCGGCATCACCGAGCAGAGGAAAGCTTAACGAAGTCTGAGAGTTGGAGCGGGAGACTGACTCGGTGTGGATGACATCAGCGAGGGATATTCGGGTACGGGGCACGGGAGATCGTTCGGGTAGGAGTAGAGTTGCCGTGGAGGATCATCCAAAATGGGCATCAAGTTGGTGCTGTTGAAGTGATGCTACCTTAGCTCACTTGGTGTTACTGGCCTTGGACACGATACACCGCGGCGATCATCACGGCCTCATCCTCACCCTGGAAAGTCACTGAACGCAGTGCAACATAATCCCAGTGGAAAAAGGTTTGTATTCATAAGTCATTTCTCGCACGAGAACCTCGGCCCACGAAACTATGCACCAGCGTCCTTGAGAGCTGCCTGTCCCTGCTTCACAATAGCATCCGTCTCATCGGCGCTCAGCCCGGGAAGCGGGATCCGCTTGCCCTTGGAATCAATCGACCCGGGCGCCTTCTTATCCTTGAGATCGAGGCCGGTGACGATCTCGGCCGCCTCCGAGTCCGTCAGCCCGGTCGTCGGGTTGACTTTGTTGTCGCCAATCGCCTCGACGCGCGGATCGCCCTTTTTCGGCGTCTTTGCGGTCTTTGTGGTCTTGGCGGTGCCGCTCCCCGACGCCTTTGCTTGTCTCGGCTCCACTGCCGCTGGAGGCAGGCTCCTCGTCTTCGTTGCTGCTGTTGCTGCTGCACTCTCCTCCTCTGCCTCCTCTTCTTCCTCTGCATCTCGTGCTGTTACCGTCTCGACGCGGGAGAGACTCATGTCGTCGACGAGGGCGGGGGCGGCGGAACCTTTGAATTCGATGTCGCGGCGGTTGACGAGATCGACGGGTTGGCGGGCAGTGAGACCGTTGAGAGCGGGCTGTGTTGAGACGTGTTAGCATCAGAGCGTTGTTTCGAAGATCTGTCGGGTGTTGTTGCGACATGACAAAAGATGGAAGAGAAGGGAGAAAAAACATACCAGAGCTGATGCACCGCCCGATAAGGCGAGGAAGACGATTGAGAAACGCATCTTTCTTTATTTGTCCCGATGGGAGTGAGTGTTGCTGATTGTTGTATTGTAAAAATCACACACGAAAAAGTTGATTCAAAATTCTTGCGTGGTTGAAACGACTGTCGGCTACGAGAAAATCCAAGAAACCGAGAGCAGAACAATTGATTTGCAGATTGCAAGTTTGCACAAGTGATGGTGTGTGTGAGAGAGTGAGTGTGAGATGATGTGTCGACACCGAACTGCTGGTGGTTTACGAATGATACCAGGTCGTTGATGAAACGGTTCAAGTAAATCAGTGAAAAGAAGACAACCAACCAAAGAGAATGGAAGCAGAGAGCCGGTAGAGGTGGAGGGTGGGAAGGGGGAGGGTCCAAACACTTTGGGCAACACGTTCTTTGATCTGAACTATATACCTCAGTTGATTCAATGTTCGGGCATGCCATCTTAATTCCCACGCCATGCGGCGGCCATGTCGACACACCGAACACAAGAGACATCCGAAGTTGAGAGCACGAACCAATGTCCATGTGCATCTGGGCACCGGTATCATGTCAGTGGAGAAGGGGGGCCATGTTGGAGAGAAGTCTCAACCACGTACCCTTGTCAAGTTTGTCGTGCTCTGCGATGACATTCCACCCGAAGCAAAAACCCCCAAAGAGGTGGAAAGCCCAGGCTTTGCCCAGTCTTGTCCTGCAGTGTCCTGCAGCCCAGCTCCCCCCAGCAGCTCCACGATGAGACACAGGGATGATGCCGTATATCCAAAACTATGGCGAATCAACTGGCAGGCTGAGACGGCACAAGGGGTCCTTGGAACAAGAAGGGGATTCCATAGAAGTTCCCTAGAAGGCTGGGCTGCGCGTTGGTTGAAGCACTACTCCCGTGGACTACCACATCACCACAGAAAGGGTATGTGTCTGCGTTGGGTTTGGATGATTTGAGTGCAGACTGTTTCGCTGGGTAGCATCAGAGCGCCTCTTTCTGGACTCTCTAGGGGGTTGGTTTCTGTCATTGTGGGCGACCAACACACCTATTTTTGCACTCTCAGACTTTCGTCTCCTGAGTCTTGACTAAGTAGTCAACTCTCGGAGGGGTCTGGAAGTCTCTGGACCAACAGCGCAGCGCAGTCCGCAGTCGCCGAACACCTGGCCTCCCACTCACAGTCTCCAGGTCCAGAGTTCAGCACGACATGGACCGTTGACTTTTTTGCCCTCCCTCGTCCAAACATCGGTCCTCGCATCGTGACCGAGGCCGCGAGCAACGCACCGACCAGCCCGACTTTTTCGGGTGGTTGAGCTTTTTGAAAGGGGGGTTTGCCGGGGGCATTTGTGGTCTTGGAGGGGCAGATTTGTCACTTTGGGCGGAGTGAAACAGCAACGCCCGACTCGACTCGACGTGCTGTGACGAACGAGGGTTCTTGTCCCGCCACACACATGGCATAATTCCTGTGCAATTCCTGTGATGTGTTATGGATGTTCCTTGACATAAATGTGCGCATCTACCGCCCGGGTGCGTGTGTGCTCACCTCCCGACCGTGACAAGCCTTTTTCCTCGCCTCATCTACATGAGCAAATGAGGCGGTGTTTGGGTGAAATAGGGGCTATCCGAAGGCCCGGTAGGTGCGGATAGAAAAGGATTGGCCACTTGGTGAAGAACAAAGTGTACGATAACTCTAAACCAAAGTACTTAGGCTCGGGCCCCTTCAACGTTGGCCAGAACTGAGGGACCGGTATCCGTACAGCACACTAACACATAGTAAGTGCTGCAAGGAACGGGTAACGTAAAAAGAGTCCAGTGGAAGATGGGCACCGAGATAAGATTGATTGCGATCCGCCCCCAACTTCTTCTAACGCGGGCCCACCCCAGCCGACACCGACGGTTAACTCGGCCCGGAGCCGGACAAAAGATTGCGTGCTGTAGACTGTATTAGACAGATTTTGTGGCTCTGCCTTCCCCAGAGCGGGATGTTAGCGTACTACTATGTAGTGTAGGTAGTCTATTTCATTAATACCCGTCGCGTTCCCTACTTACGCAGTAGTGCCGTTGAACCGTCTTTGCCGTCCTCGCACACTGGAAAGGCTACCTGAGACACTGCCCCGTCTTCCAAGGGTGCACGATTGTGGCAATGGGCGACAGATGGTGCTGCCGGCCTCCGTGGCAAGCAACAGACCACCCAAGTTCAACGGACCAACGGTTTGGGGACCCGGCCTGCCGGCTTAGCTCGGCACCATGGCAATACGGCACCAAAGGATAAAAAACCTCACCATCTCGTATCGTCATGCGTTAAGAGTCGCAAGAAGTGGTCACACTGCGAGCCCCCTTCGGTGGTTCGGCACTGGCGCAATTTACTTGTAACGGGAGCACGGCCTATAAGTTGCCAGATATCGGACGTGGGGCCGGTTTGCCGGGGTGCCGGGGCCGCCTCTACTCACTCCCAGACTCTCCAAGGCCCCAGGTTCGAAGGCCAGACTTAACATGGCCCAACTACCGGCATGGAATCTTCTCATTACGTCCAGAAGAGGGAATTCAACGAGGGGTGGTTTGTCCCAAAAGAGCTCGCTTTCGTTGATGGGCCATGGTAGTGTCTCGTATCCTGGTAGCAGATCGCATATTTCCAGCTCGAATCCCACCGCTTGCGAGCGCCTCTCTCACGTGGGCTTCCTGTTCGATAGTGCAGACCTTGGCATCTAAGCTGAGGCCCATAATTCATCAACTCGGTCTTTCTCTACTGCCGATATCTCGTGATGCTGAGAGACATCCGGCACTTGTAGTCAACACGGCAACTCCACCACATTTGTGACACGGAATTTTCCAATCAAATACTCCGAGAGCATGAGAGAGATAAAGAGACCGCTGCACTTTTAAGAGTAGACGCAAAGTCGAATCCTCTTACAGACATGATGAGCAGCGAGGGCCAAGTCGACTGTTTGCCGCCTTTCCTGCGCATTCACAGACGCTGTTGACTAGAACTTGCGCCTTCAAAATCGTATTCGTAGAAATCTCATTTGAAGCCTTTCTATATTTGACAGGCCACGACAAGTGCCCATGAGTATCAAGTCTTGACCACATACTTTTGCAAACTCTCATCTGGATATTGCAAGATCCTCCAGCGTTACGCTCGTGGCTGCGCTGAGTTTACCCTCCTACAGAGGTTTCGTTATACAACGAAGGCCAAGCTATGAGTCAATGAGTCTATTGTCGCAACGCCGCACGTGGTGCTGCCCACCTACTGCCGTACGAGATCGCTTACAGGTACCTAGTACGAGACGACTGCCCGCCTCGTACGGTATTTAGATACAACCCCTTGAGGGTCCCTCACCTGAAAGAATCAAGCCACTTTCTACTGTATATGTCTTCCACTTGGATCATCGCTTTGTGATGTCTATAATAACCTACAATTTATGAACAACATCGGGACAGGCCGTCTGGCCCGGTAATTGGTAGACTACAAGTGCGATGAATGCTACTGTCGTCCTATAAGTGAGCTCTCGCGATACAGGACCACGAAATAGCAGGATCC